TGACCCTGATAAGCACCTAAATCCTTTAAAAACTAGTTTGAAAGTGCTGAAACCTAGACAATATCAAGAGAAGTGTCTGCCCACATGTCTTGCCTCCAAGTGCAGCATCTCGTATGTGTCCTCTGCTGGGCCTCCCACTTGGCAAAGGCCCTCACAAACATCTTTGTGATTTAAAGGATGCATGTGAGTTGATCAGGCCTCTTTCCTGCATCCAAGGACTTGGAAAGCTTCTACATTTGCAGAGAATGTCACAGCAAATGGCTGAAGTTCCCCAATGGGAAATGTGCCTACTTCCTTACACAATTAGAAACTCTTCTAGAGAAGGAAGTTCTTCTGCACACTTCTACTCATTGCCCTGGTTGGTTTAACTACATCAGCTGATTTTGCACAGGGCAGATGAGTGCTATCACCTCTAGTTAAAACTGCTCTGAAGGTGGCAGATGCTTTGGCTGACTATAGCAACTGGCTCTAGCAGGCTTATGGCTATGAATGCAGACAGTAATGGATGATTTCCTACAAAAAACAAAGCTAAAAATGCTTTCAAAATATAACCATTAGCCTCAGGATGCTTGGTCTCCTCATGGTCAAAAGGCTGGGTTTCTCTAGGAAGATGATTTGAAACACCTACAGTTAACTTTTAGAGAGAATTATCCCCTGCATAGTACTCCATATAGGTAAAGGCAGTCCAAAGCCATGAGTCTCCTTGTGTTTAAGCTAATCTTTGTACTTAGCTGCAAGTTAGCTGTGTTTATCAGAAATTTCTAGCCCCCTGACACTCAGTGTGCTATGCTCCTCTGTCAAGAGAGGATATAAGTTTACCAATCCAGAGTGGAGGGAAATTTAGTTTCTCTTTTTTTCTATTAATGGTTCTATTTTTCAAACATAGTGACAAAATGTAAACAATTGATTCCTTTTCTCTTGAAATTAATATAAATCTAGAAGCCTGAGCTATTAGGGGACCTATGTATAACTGATGTGGATTACATCAGGGGCAATACACTGAATTTAATTTTCATTACCCAGATATCATGTGCATAGGCAAACATTAGCAGCTAAAGCTAAAAATTCATAGATGTAAATACAGTAATAATTGAAATAACAGGTTTTCACTTTTTAGACTGCTATCTATAAATATTCTGGCATCGATGCTCTAAATGGAAAATTATGTACTCTGGTACATTATGTGTAATGTCTCTGGGGACAAAAACTATGAAATTTTGTTTCTTTATCCTGAAAGTTTAGCTAAGTAGCTTAATACTCTTAGGCACGTAGTGTGACTCTTGGGGATGGTCCATTGCAGGGCCAAGAGTTGGACTTGATGATCCTTGTGGGTCCCTTCCAACTCAGCATATTCTGTAATTCTGTGATTCTGTGTAACCAAGTGCTATACAGCATGAGAAACTGTGTGAAGCACCTTGGCAGAAGCAGAGGGATAAAAATAGAGCAAAATCATTTAATAAGACTGCCTGCTAGAGACATATAATTACAACAATGCAGAGACTTTTGGAAAACAAGGAGGCCCAAACCTGAGCTGTACAGTCATATCATGAAGCAGTTAAAACTAACAGTATGATCACCTCTAAATATAGAAAGCAAAATTCTGTTTCTTTGGGTTGTAGACGTGTTTTTTAATTTTGGCTTTTGTATTGCAAAAATTATCCTAAAAAAGCCATGAACTTAGGAGACTGTATGTACTATGGATTAGCTGTAACTCTGTCTTATTACAAAGAAAACCAACGGTGGTGTTTTTAAAACCATGCATTGTTGGAGTCAGCAGGAGCTTTACCATTCAATTCTGTAGAACTGAAAATGTTTTAGGCCAACACTGAGCACTTTCAAAATCCTCCATGTATTGTTTATGTCTTGAACAAAATGAATAACTTTTCAAATATATTTCTGTTGTATCCTTCCTTCCATACAAAGACACTCAGCTGGCTGAGAATAGGAAGAATAGAAACTTTGGAGCCTCCAAACTTTGGAGTTTCCCAGTATTTTATAGCCATAAAAGTCTAGATTGTTTGAGGACATGTGATTTTGTTTATGCACTGCAGGGATGTGAAATAAACATTTAGGAAGCAGGGTTAAATAAAATGAATAAAATAAAATTTAAACCTCCAGATTCTTCTTTAGAAATCAACAAATGAAATTCAGTTGACATATTAATGAATGGAAAAACTATTCAGAAAATAGGCATGATGCACCTCAGATTAAAAAAAAAAAGGAAAAAGACAAATACATTTAAATCTCAATTCTATTTCTCCTCTAGTGGTGTTGAACTGGTGGTTTAGACTGCTTTTCAAACGCTGACATGAAGAAAAAGATTAAATTAATGAACCAGAGACTAGAGATTTGCTTTGTACTTTTCAATTATACAGAAGACATTATGTAGATTTGCAGAAATTCCTATACACACTAAATACAGAGGAGCTTTATTGTATCTGACACTGCACACACATATTCTAAATGCTCTGAATGCTTTGCACTAGAAGAGCTACCCTACTTAAACACATAACCATATGGCTAGGTAAACAGGATTGCCTCATTTAAGACAATGATTTTCAGCCTGTGGTACCTGAGACCTTTGGAAACCTGTGACTTCTAAAGAGACTTCATAGAACAGCAAAGAAATGTGAGTCCATAAGTGTTGCTTAGGATTTGTTGCAGAGGTAGCATTTCTGAAAACATTACAAATAACAGAGGCTGGAAATCACTGATTTAAAACTTGTATGCATGCTTTTCTATGATGGAATCAACTTGCTTAACATCTTGCTGAATTAAGCCTCATCTGCCAAAAACTGATACAGTGAAAATTGTTATTTGCATTGTTTCCATGAACTTATTTATGCTACCATGTGGTCAGTATAGAAGACAGGGGCTAGACATGTTCATTTTCATGTCAAATATCCAGGGAGTGGTAGTAACAGGCTATTGCATAAGCTTCCTGTTGCTGGGAGTACAAGACGAAATGAACATTTATAGGTCAAGAAAGAATATTCACATATATTGTAAGATTTTTTAGAACTAATTAAAAAGGTCCTGAACATGGGAGAAGCCTCAATTTCAAGGTGAAATCAAGTCAAATTGTGATTAGAATATTCTTTGTTCATCTCTTGTAGTTGTCAGTTTCTTGATTGTTTTGCTTGTTTCCTAGAAGCAACTGGACCTGGCTACTGCAGAAGTCAGAGAGCTGTTCTAATTCTCAAGGAGTCCAGTTCTCAAATAAAATTTCTGTGTTTCAGTAAACAACTTTAAGTGGCTGAGCAGACAGATGAGATCACCCATTTTTTATGTACTGGTATTATGCGAACATATGATATAGCAGACAAACTTCATAGTCAAATGAAATGAGATTCATCTGAGCAAATGTAGATATTTAGAGTGTAAGGCTCTACATCTTCACTTATCATCTAAAGTAATTTTAATCAATGGAGGAAAAGACAATTCTGTAGAGCAATTGGTCGTATCCTGGTCTACATGTTTAAGAGGAGTAGAGGCATTGCACCCTGATGAGCCTATTACTCACTTTGAGGTTAAAAGGGTGCCAGGATGTCTTCAAATGCATCCCACCCTCACTATATTTGGCTTGCACAGAAAGCAAAGAAAGGATGGAAATTTATATGTATAAATAATTCTAATTGTAGTTACTAATATCCAACAATAAAGAGAACTAGAAATGCAAATCTCAGTACCTCAATAGATCTTCTTCAATGACAAAGATACCCTTACATGTACCAGATTCTCCTTTGTTTCATTTTAGTATGATTCTGAGCATTTTTAAAAAATTTCAATTACAGTCTCTTCAGGAAGTGAGCACTGAAAGTACACAGTTTTTGGGTGTGACCTGCTATATTATTGCCACACCAAGTGTGTTAAGACAAATGACCTCTGGCTTGTCACTACCTTACTCCCAACAAGGAAAGTTCAAAGTGGAACTCCCTTATATAAGCACAACATAAGAAACATGCTTTCATATTCATTGCAATACACAGAAATCAAACCCACTGTAACCTCCTTCTTCACACAAGACACCTGCAAACAGACAATTCGCAGGAGCTTGCTAATTCAGCCGTGTGTTTAGGAGTAGGGTATGCCTGTAGGCACTAGTGGACAGGAGGTTGCATCCCATGAAGACCAGTTCCAGAAGGTGGCTGATCACAAAAGTAATTAGTCTCTGTTTTCCTCTTGCCCCTAGAGTGGTTGTTCATTGCTGACCTACAGCTGGAGTGAATTACCCCCAAGTGTCATGCTGGTTCAGAGGTCCTGATGGGCACAGGGAATGTATGGAGTCCATGCTTGGCAGTTACACTCTACTGCAGGGAAAGAAAAAAAGGAAGAAAGTAGGGAAGAGCAGCCAGAAGGACTGATTGTCAGAAGTCACAGACAAGATATGGCAGAAGTTCCCACTGGTTGTTTTTTTGGCTTAATTTGAGTTTGCTGAGATGCTACACATTGGATACTTTGTACAGAAACCAGAAGGCTGATGTGGGCCTAGGCACACACTTTCAACCCATGCCTTAGTGTTTTGAATGTAATTGCATTAGTTTCCAAATCTTTTTTTATTCATATCTGAACTCTAGACAAAATCTAGTCTTTTATGGTTCTAGTAATCACCTAAATTCCTAGCATTCAATACATTCTAGAAACAACAAGAAAAGTCAAGCTAATAAGTCTTTAGAGCTCTGGAGACCTAAGGGGAAGAAATTAATATTTTTGGAGTAATTCTCCTCATCCAGCACCCTAATGTATCTGGATTTTGTTGAAAGGGGAGAGCAAGGGTAGCATATGAAATTATTACTCATTAATATCCTAAGGAAAACAGTACCTTTGTCATATATTCTGTTAAGAAATATTTTTATATTATGACACTCTTCCCCACTGTTGTAACCAGTCTAAAGTATTCCCACAGTTCAGCTGTGAATGGTATTTCACTCAAACCCTTTCCGTTTACTGTGCCAGTTAATTTTTCCCAGCACAGTTGCCTGCAGAGATGACCCTTGATTTCAAACATTGCTCCCAAATGCAAACACAGCTGGTTGTCAAAAGAAATCAGCCCAAAATAGTATAGAACACATATTTGAAACCTCAATATACTTTTACTTGCATTTTGATGCCAGTCTACACATCAGACCCAACAACATCTTAGGAAAACAGCAATACTGAATGACAGAATCATATTTCACTCACAGTAGGATATCCTGGGCTTTTTTCCCCTTTAAATATATTCTCTAACCTTTTGTATGAAGGATCTACTAAATCATTAAAAATATTTTCCAAGGGATGGGACTATTGTTTAGTTAAAGAACTGAACAATCCAGCTTCTCTTCATTTATTTCTTTGGGTAATTAACTTCACCAAAGTCATTGAGCTAACTTGTTTCATTCTATTTCAGTTTTAATGGGAAAATTTCTACTGATTTTTCTGTCTTTTGAGTCTGTACCTAAACTCTAACCTAAGTTCTTTCAAGCCAGAAGCTAAAAGATGAGACTGCATAGTGAGTTAGATTGAATTGATATCTCTTCAGAGAGAGATCTTACAGTCTTAAAGGTCACAAAAGCATTGGTTGGTCCCAGAAAAGTTTATATTTAATCTTGGAATTGTACTCAGAACAGAGGATGAAATACAGGAATATAATAAGCAAGTCTGGGTTCCGTGATCCACTGTGTGCATTCAATTCTTCTGCCTTATTCCCAAGAGTAAACTAAGAAAACCCCAGTCTCTTTTTTGCTTGCTTGTTTGTTTGTTTTACTGTGTGAATATGTTAGCCCCTTCCAATTTACCTCCTGCCACTGGACTTCCTTGATGGCTGACACTGTAGCCTTACAAGTCTTTCCTTAACATTTTTTTCAGAGTTAGGAACACACAAAGAGCTCTCCTGAATCATCAGCACCACCTCCATGACATGATGGGCAGACACAGAATATGATCTCTGGGCTGGAGCCCTCTTTGCTTTACTGATGTCCCCATTGCTCTGCCAAAAGACTCTCCCAGAACATGATGCTTAGCATCATTCTGTTTTCAGGCATAATTGTAGTCATGGCCTATTTATTCCTGCTTTCTCATGAAGTGATGATTCTCTCCCTTCACTGTGAAAAAAATGAGGTTCCTTAATCTTCTGCCATGAGAAGGAGGTCTCTCTACTTTCAATTAATTTATTAGCCCTAATCCCATATGGTCAAAAGTAATTGCATTTTCTCAGATTCTGGATGAGGTCTCAGCAAGTGCTTTTAAAAGTGTAAAAATGTACTTTTTCTGGAGGCACTTCTCCAAGTGATGCACCCTTGGAAGCCCTCTCTCTGTTTGTGTGGTACTGTCACACCAGCAATTCACTGTTCCTGTTGCGTCGTTTGCCTTATGTAATGACCCTTCAGCTCACAGAAAAAGTTCTGATTTGTCCAGCTCTTTGAAGCATCCAGGATTTCTTTCTGCGAGATATTATGCTTTTTCTCTGAAAAAATGATGTCTTCCAACTCTGAGCTATTATTATATCCATTCTATTGTATTTTGTATTTTGCTTAATAATGATCATTTCAAGGAGGGCTCCTGTCTAAACTGTGATGAACTCTACTGCTACTCTTCTTTCAGATGAACAATTCCACTTTCATGGATAACTAATTGCCCTTTACAGAACTAGTTGTTATTTACACTTTCACCTGTTCTCTAATTTCTTTATGATTTCTACCTTCTCCAGCTAATATTCCTATTGTACTGAATCAAAGGATTCATCAAAGTCCAAATCTCCAGAGATGGTCTTTTTTTTGGTGTTGTTTAGAAAAGCAAAAGAATCTAGCAGGCTAACCTGATGCAATCTTCTTTTAGCAGTGTTTAATCCATGTTACCACCATGCCATATTTTTGTTCTTTATCCAAGATTTGGTCAATACCTTCTGCATATTAGAGTCAAGAGATCATCTGGCCAAACTTCTGCTGTATTTTCAGCTCTGCCATAACAACATGGAAAGGGGTAGATAAGAAATAGAAGTCTATGAAGCTTTGATCCTGTCTATTTGTCCTTCATTTCTATCCTATTTAGAATCACAGGAGTGGCAGTAAAAGGGAGACTATGGCAGTACAGTCTTCAAGATTTTCCCTCTTTCTAGAGAATATTTTTTTAATCAGTAAGCCATGGGCAAATGTTGAAATGCATTCTGAAATAAAGAAATCTTTAAGCAAATCTTTAAGCTTGGTACTTTCAAAGTAAATCCTTACATGGTAAAAAAACATAGGGCTGACAATTTTCCAAACAGATTAATTTCTCAGCTTTTCTCATGAATTATGGACAACTTTCATCAGATGATCAGGTAAACATGAAGAAGTTCTTGCTACTTCTGGATTCTACATTCTACATTATAGTTTTTGGAGTTATAAACTTCTTATTACTTATTTTATAGTTATTTTATAGTTATCTTTATTTTGCTTTTAATCTGTATTTCTATGTTATGAAAAGATCTGTAAAAAACATTTTATTGAAGAGTAGACTATGATTGAGATAAACAGATACTAAGCTATTAATAGTTCACAAATTTACTCCATGCCAGAGTGAACATCTTTATTGATCACAAGCATTACAATAAGAATTTGAGTATAAAATACATGAATCAAAGTGTGCTATTGTGCCTTGCAAGCCTTAAATGACAGTAAGATTTTTCAGGAACCATGGGGCATTTTAATGATTAAGCATCAAAATGAACGGCTTAGCTTTGTATAGCTTTTAGTGTGTATAAAATGTATGCAAACATACAAAAACAAAGAAAATTTTTGTAAAAACATACATTGGAAATAAGGCTAGAAAGCCAGGGAATGATATTTTACTTGTGATACACTATGCTGATGAGAGACTCCTCTTTCAACAGTCACATCTCAGTGTAAAAAAAAGCTTTATTTTTCTACTACCCTAAGAAGGCCTCACTGAATTTCTGGTCTTCATTTCTATTCCAGACACATAGTTTTAGAATTTTTGAGATGTCTGAATGTTGTTTGATTTGCATCCAACTTGCTGACACAGACCCAGTTTTGTTGCAGATCAAATAATCTAGCTTTTTGGAGGCGAGTGATTAAGAATTCTTATTGATGATTTATACAGTCCTGAATAAACTAATTTTATTTGGCTTGTCATAACCAGCTTTAAGTTTCTGTTCTGCTAGTAAAAAGCTTAGTGGTTTGTTTATTGTACTGCTGTAATGTCAACAACCTAATCTACTTTAAAGAGCAAAGTCAATATTGTATTTCATTAAAACAAATGTGAAGTTTAATTATATGTTTCAGTTAACCTTGGATTTGTGTTAGCTTTTATTCTTTTCCATAAGTAAATCTTCATTCAAAGCCTTTATGTTCTTCTTCTGCCCACATCAAAGAGCTCACAAGGAGTGCCTCTTGCAGGGCTGTTTGTGGATGTAGTAGCTGTCATAGGACTAATAACCATTTTAGTAGATAAAAAGATGTATATGACATTGACCCATCACCCTGGCTGAAGCCAGGGCTGCAAACTAGTTCTTGCTCTCTCTCTCTCTGAAACATTTTGTGTTGAGTATCTGGTGTGATTTGGGAAGCCATGGGCTACCCTTGACACACACATAGGATTCATTGGGATGGCACAGGACCTACAGGGAGGCCCATGTGACAGCCGAAGACTGGCCAAGCTGCATGCAGGCAAACAAATCAAATTCTCCCCTGCAAAACAGAGTATCTCAGGCTAATCTGGAAGCCACATTAAATGAGTAAATAATTATTTGAATATTCATCTCAGGATGAAATAATCACATATGTCCTACCAAATATGTCCTATCAAATGGTGGCCTCCAGGCTAATGAATCTGTCTGTAAGGAGGGATGAGATATATACTTTCCAGGTTCTGCTCTCTTGTTATTTGAACCTGGAGTGGAATTTAGTCCTTCAACAGATGCATAACAGGAATGTCAGAAGCAAGAGCTGTGTTCTTGTTGCTGACCTGAGTTCTTATTCCTGCAGCTATAGAATATTCAGTGGAGTGGAGTACAGAGAGAAACAGTTTACTTTTTGTGGAATGCAAACCTGAATATCTATAGTTAGGCTTTTTTGTTTCTTTTACAAATAATTTAAATTAGTTTCTGTCACCATAAGAACATTTTAAAAAGGGAACGGTAAAGTAACATTTTGTTCTTGTAAATTCACCTTGATCTATAATTTAGATCTAAGCACTTCAAAAATTTGATTTATTGGAAACCAGTTATTTCCATCTCAAATTAAAAATCTTCAAAAATATATAGACTTTCAGCTACAAGTCCAAAAAACTTATAGAAAATTTCAAAAATTTTACAAGTTTCATGTTATCTTAATTCTCAAGTAATGCTGAGTCCAGAATTTTCCTAAGGACAGATTACACTGATTCAGAAAGGACTTGATATGAAACTTCACGTATTATAAAGTAGGAGAGATTCAGAAAGGGTGGTAAAACATTTAACAGCACTCTTCCTTTACTTCCAAGTTTTTACTTCTTCACGGTTTCTGAGGTACTGCTATCAAGCATGCTGTCAAAATAATCCCTTAAGCTTTTGTCAGTTCAAATTATCTTTCCACCATCAAACTCTAATTGCCAGTAAGATATTGATTCAAGACAAATTTCTTCTGCCCGATTAAGATGATTCTCCTGGAGGAACATAAACTGATCAATAATGTCTATGTATAGCTCCTCCAGCTTCATACAGACCCTGAGACTCATTTAATCTATGAATGCATATAAACAACATATTAGCTATTCTCTTAAATTAGTTTTAGTGACAGTCATGTATTCATTTTTACAGTAAAAGAAACTCCCTCACCTCCAAAAGGAGAGTTTTCAGTCTAGCGGCATAAGAATAACCCAACCAAGCATCACCCCTGCACAGCCTATATAAGGTCTCTTTGAAGCACCAAGAATTGACCTATGCAGATTGGAGGATATTTCACTAAATTGGCTAGCAAAAATGAATAAGAAAAATCACAATGGACACCTAACAGCTAGGAAAAAAAATTCCCTGGTCCCATTGGTGATAACTTTATGCTCTCTAGCATGAGAGTTGATTATCCCTATCATAATGGCAACATACATAATGACAAAGGTTATTAGTGGCCATAAAGTAATCCAACTCTAGAATTTCTGCCACAGTATTTAAATCAAATACCTCCTTCAATGATCAAACACAAATTGCTGGAAACGGATTGCATACAGATGTATATATCTTTTTTTTCATTCTAAACTCACTTCCAATGTAATTTAACCATGATTTTCCCTATGCACCATGTCCTTCATAATTTTCACAGTAAACCCCCTACTTTCTTCTTATCCAGCTAAGAAATTTCAACCTTTGGGACTCATCTATTTATGTTCTTTCTATTGTTATTTATTTTGCCCCATGGCGAGTTTTATAATTTCACGTGTGTTTTTCCTAATGTTGGTGACCACTTTTGGATTAAGAACTATAGAAGTGTACTATTGCTTAAGGCCTTTGAGTGTAGCTGGCTTTTTTTTTAGCTTTAGAGATTTTAATCTGTTTTAGCACACTTGCCAAGTTATTCACAGTAATCTCAGGTTATTTTCTTCAGAAAATTCCATATGAATAAAATACACATCTGAAAAACTTTGACTATTTTGTTCATTATTACAGGTCATAATCCTTTGGTGTTTTTATACTAAAATAAAAAAATAATATTTAACTATCAAGAGGTTGAGTTTGTTTTAAATAATTTACACTATTATTTTTCCCTGTCTGTTGATTCAAAGGAATGAAATGATACCACACAGATGACTACTTTTTACTTTTAATTTATGGTACTTTTGATTGTTCTGTGGTGGTTAATGCTGCTGATAATAATATAGGCCAAAACACTGCTCTTTCCATGCTATGAAATGAAGATCATTACTTCATGAGTGGTGTGTTCACAAGTGGAAAGAAAATTTCACTTCTCTTCAGGTAATAAAAGTTGCCACAGAAAGTGAGCCAAAATTTTGATTATGTGACTCAGTGCAGGTCCTCCAAGATCAGTGTTACACTGCTCTTAAGTCTAATAGAGAATAGGTCCTGGTAAGTCCTCTGATGAATGTAGAGAAAAAGGTGGATAGAATTCAAAGCATTGCATTTAATCAATAAGATGTCAGAGGCCAATATGCTTGTTGATGTGTCCTCTCTTGGGGTTATCATGGTCATGAATTTTCTGGAATAACTTTATGTCTTTCACAAAGGTTTGCAGACCAGATCACTGTTAAGAAGTCACAAATGCTGGATGAAATCACAAAATGGAATAAGTTTGCAAGTGGAAAGCACCTTACATGTGCCATTACACAGAATAAAAGGTAGGTCCCACTAAATTTCTGGGTTTGAGTGTTCCTCCCTGTCTTCTGGAAGTCTGGAATTTTTTCTAGTTCGTCAGTTCAAGTGTTAGCTGTTGGAACCAGCTCCTTTGGCCCAATGTCCCAAGAGATTGGACAATTATTCAGGTAACTGTATTATGACTTCCTTTTTGAATTTTAAGATAAGTGGCTAAATGTAATGCAATTAAAACAAAAATCTATACAGGTTTTCATGACAGTGATTCTGGTTTCCTGGATTTATTGAGAAAATAAAAGGCACTGTTTGTAGTTTGAGGTACCATGGCTGATCCGTATGAACGAGAAAACAAAGCATTTCTAAAATGCGTATGCTGAAAAGTGAGTCTGCAGAGAATAGAACAGCACTGCAGGGTGCCCTGCCTACTTTGTCTTATTGATGTTATGTCAGATATGGTCAGAAGACAAGGAAAAGGATCATTTTTCTAACCACTGCCACTGTAGACTCACTGTGGAAGCTAAAAGCTAAAATATGATCTTTCTGGCTCAGGAATCAATAACAGCAATAAAGCATTTACAGGTCATTCACTTCCCCTGATCGCACCTGTATCATTCAATTGTGAGAAAAATTCAGCCTTCATTTACATCTGAGGAAGACAGCTGGTCTGCTGCTACTGTTTCACTGAAATAACTGAAATTCAAGAGCATTATACTAATTTATCTCATGGAGTACAAATCCCTCATCTTTCATGGGAAGGCTCAAAGGCTGAGTTGAGGCATTCTCCCAGTAGAGTTGCACAGGATTCAACTGGATAACATATTCTTTTTAAACCTTGTTGTAAACTATTGTGTGATGTTGCACTGTTCTTTCATGTTCAGTGCTTTTCCCAGCATATGCTTACATCTTGCACAGGGTCTCCTATGTAAATCCCTCACTGATCTCACAGGCCTGGTCAAAGCCCACTGGCTCTTTGAAGATACTGAAGAAAAGGTGCTGGAGAAGTGCATGATATTAATAGATGCTACCATAAGGCTACATCAAACCCTATGTTGAAGAACAGTCTTGGTATTTTACTGTCATCTGAGACTTTTGGAGCAGCAGTAGCTCAAAGATTTTGTTCACACAAGTCTGGAATGAAAATTAATGGATAACAAACCTGTCACTCCAAAAGACCCCATTTTATTATAATATCCACACTAGATGAAACTTGGTGTTAGAGAAACTTCAGGAAATCCTCAAATCAATACATATAAGCAGCTGCCGTCCATTCCTGAGCATCAAGGGAAAAGGGATTTGCTGAACGTATGTTTCTCTTTCATTGTGTCTTTAAGACCTCTATTCTCTGATAGTGGGATGAAGAGAATTTCAGAGTTATAATTAGATTAGATTCTGTAGAAGTGAACTTTACCATATGGATTGCAGTTAACTCCTCCTGACAGTTAGAACCAAGTGCAGAGATGAACGATGTCATACCTGTTAAACAAAAGGTCAGATTCAAACCACAATTTAAGTGCCAGAAATAAGGCTTCCAAGGACGATTCGGTTGTGTATGCTCCAAATTTCAATCTTGGAAAGCCCATTCAGCTGCCTACTCACACTAGAAGCTGAACACTTGGAGGGCTCCTCTTCTAATGTCCCTCTGTATATCCTACCAAAGGACCTCAGGTGGTACATGACTCCCTAACCCCTTGTGTAAAGCACTCATGGGACAGGCATTGGGCTTTTTCATGAGAAAAAATATTGTGATGCTCCGATCTGGCTTGTCTGGACAAAAGAATTCTTAAGAGAGCAGTTATGTTTTAAATAAAAATTCAACATTTTCTTTGTTAATTAAAACCAAAGCATGGGATGATTCCTTGGCTGATATAAACTGTGATTTTTGTGCATAGCAATTTGTACTAGGTGAGTATTGCACTCTGAGACTCTTCTATTGATTCGTACATGCAAGAGACATTTTAAACAAATGTGTTCTCTCATTAGAGTAATGCATTTAATAGTAAAAAATAGGTGTTTTTTAAAAATTATTTTTAACTGTACTCAGCTTGTCTCAAAGGAATTTTTTTTAACAATCTATTAAGTTTTTATAGCTCTTTAAGATTATAAAATGCTGTTTAATTATATGTAATAGGTGTACTTGTTCTACTGGTATAGCAATGAATTAGAAAATATTTGTGTTCTTTCACATTAATTTTTTCAGTAAACTCACTATTTTAGCATTTTTCTTCCTTTGAATTTTCTCTTTTGTATACATGAATATCTCAATAGATAAGAATGGTAATGTTATACATATACATTTTTTTATTATTATTACTAATTACTGGTATTTCTATTTATCAGTAGGCCTTGCTCTAAACCAGCAACATTTGTTTCAGGAAAAGCACATTGCATGGAAATTCTAATTATTTTTTAAGTGGTAGAGTGATTTCTTTGTCTGTCCCTTTGGTTTCCACTGAGAAGCAACTCATAATTTAATCACTTTACCTTTACCCTTTTTTTTCATCTTTCTGTGCATTTTCTTGCCTGCTTGAAAATGCTGAAGAATCCAGATTTTTTCCACAGTTTTTCGTGGATTGATGACTAATTCCTGGTGAAGAGTAAGCCTAAGTATGCACATGAAAGTGGTATGAGATACATCTAAGCTCACTTTTAACGTATAAACATTGGTACATTTAGATTAAACTTGACTCCGAGCTGCTTCTGTTGCTCATTAAGAGATATAGGCACCTCCATAAAATGTCATTCTTATTTCTTACTGAACATGCCTTTCATGAGTATTACTCTGTTGGATCACATCTGAATATGTAATCAGGGCATGGATGTTAAGGTCTTCACTCTCTGGTCATTCTATAGGACTAAGTTAATGGGAAATCTATAAACCCATTCTAGACTAAAGAAAAAAATTGGGTAAATGAGAACCTTTAATTTTTGTAGGTACTATAGACCCAGAATAACCTAAGGTCTTTTATCCATTTGGGGCCATGGGGCTGTGACAGTTGTACATTAGACTCGATGGTCGTGTTCCTACCCTCCCATGAAAAGTAGGCCTTGGTCTGATTTGTTTCCATACAGATAAATAACTTTCTCTTCAAATCACAGTGGTCCCATCCAAGCTGCCAGTTGGCAATAGTCCCTTGGCTATGTCCTGACCACTCCTATATATTATCTGAAGTACTGTTAGGTATCTTGAGTCAACCCCCCCCTCAAAAAACCTGGAAGTACCTTGACTCTTAAGCCTTATGAATGATCCTGGGTCAGTGTTTGAGTCATGCGCTAGTCCTGTCTTATTTGTTACTGTTTATGTAGCTTTTAGGACTATGAAGGAACAATTTATTTAAAATTCTTTCATTTTACAGTCTTTCTTTTTGTATGATTGAGCGTTTTGAAAGACACAGGACAGGAAAATATGAAAATATATGTAAATAATTGTGGACAACATTCTCTGTGACCAGAATTCAGTCTAACAAGAAGGAAGACATTCAGAAAAGGCTGAGATATGTTGTCTATACAGACAGGAGATATCATTTCAGATTTGCATGCAAGTCCTCTGAAACAGGAACATAAAAGTATACCTGCTCCTCATTGTATGCTTTCCCTGATGACAAACACCAAGCTGACAAACTCTTTCAACTCTTTATCCACTATCCAATAATATGATTAATGGAAATCCTCTTGCTGCTATTACCAGAACTAATTTTATCATTTGTTCAGCCTCTCTGGGGTTCATTCTGACACGTTCTTTTGTGTAGCAGAGGTATAGTTATTAACATCCCTGATGTCCCCTTTCAACTTTTTGTTTGCAGTTTTGTAAATTAAGAGTTCTCCAAATTTTTTGGTAGTGCAGATTTAATAAAAAGCTCTCCTTTCTCCTGCTTTCTCAGCTGGTCTGTCTCACAGTGTAATAAGGAGAAAAAACCTTTCATTGTCTGTAGCCTTATGAACAGTCAGCTAATTCATCAACCTTTTTAGTTTTGAAGGAGAAGCAATTTGTAGACCAGGCGATAATGAAAGACAGAAGATAATGGGCAGTAGCTTAGATTTAGAAACTTGTGTTTGTTTTGGAGTCCTGTGATCCAGCACTTCTGTCAATTTAAATTAACTTCTTACATCATGTCACGTGATCATCACACAAGTTATGGACATTTACCATCCCATGAAGGAGGCTGCAGATGGCAAGCAATAAAACCATAAGGATCTCCCTCTCAACAGTTTGTCACGCTTTGTCCTTAGCTGCAAAATTTGGAAGGTGCATAGTGATATTAGTCGACTTGGGCTACACAGCTTCCCTCAGATTAGTTGGTTGAAATGTACTGTCACAGCTGTTCTATTCCCACTGAGTCTACTGCCTTTGAATGGTCCAGACACACAGGCTTGTTCGGAGCTGGCTCATCTACACATAGCATGACAGTGTGCTGTGAATCTTAACTATTACCAGAGTCATTTGCTTAGCGTCGTGTAAAAATCCTCAGCCTGGGATGGGAGCTGAACTCACTGTCTCTGGCTCCCACCACAGTACTGCAAGCATGAATCTATCCATACTAGATTTTTAGGTTATGCACAAAGTGAGAAAAAAGATCAAATAATCTGGAAGTTTATATAATTGTTATTTTGTATTCTGATTTCTGCCTCACTTTATCAGTCTCTACCAAACACCAAGAAATTAATTACCTGGCATTAAAACATGTGAACGTGTCTGACATTCTGGTTGATGGCCTTTAGAAAAGACAGATATGCGATCAATAAAAGCTTTCTTCTCTCTAAGTGAGACTAGGATAAAGTGTCACTACAATCTACAAATCTTAGCCTTTTTGGCTTAGACGTGTCCCACTAATAGTAAAACAAAAGCAAAAAAACTGAAGCATCTACTTTCCTGAGAGATTACCAAAATGCTTATTTAGTCATTTAGACATTTCACCTGAGAAGATATACATCTCTGTACTCTTTTTCACTTATCTATCAGTAAACTAGAGGTAGAAGTATTGGTAATGATAAATTTATTTTAGTATAAATCCTGGATGTCCCTGAAGAGCATCTTGTTTCATTTTTCATCTTATTTTTTATTTATCTATTACTGAAATTTCAACCTTTAAGCTTTAGTTCAAAACAGTTAAATTTCCTTTCTTGTGGAGGAGTGACAGGCACTTTTTTATATTTCTTGTTATTGACAAGAAACGATTCCCTTTTTCATTATGCAAATAGAACCAGAAATAATTAGGAAGTATGGTAATAATATATGCAAATCCCAGCACTAATAATTTGTGAGATGTTCATGTTTTATGTGATAGCAAAGAGCCTTTGACTTTCAAAGCACATAGATACAGTATGCTTTGTAGGGCTAGGAGGAAAAACTCTAGATGATACACTCAATTACCTTCCTAACAAAAATAAAAATAAAAAAAGCTACCTTATGATTCTCTTAAATTTATTTTTTTTACATAACAGTGATAAGAACAGATCTTCTGGGTCAACTTGTCTCATTTCCTGGTATTACAGGCTGCCATGTCAAATATTTCTTTTCTGCAAATTGGTGGAGAATGAGCTTTTGCTTTCATGTCTTCTTCTGCAAAGTTCTTCATAAATTCTTCAAGCTAAACATTTTCACAGTTTTTGACAAAAGTTGGTTCTAGTCCTGAGGGCAATTTTCATTTAGCAAAAAAATTATCTGTTTCTTTCATAATTTATTTATACTGGGAAAGCAATCAAAACTCTTTAAGGCTTCTATTTTTCTGTACTAGACAAAGTAAGCTGTTTTTATCTTGCAGTTAGCTTGTTTCTGAAAGTCTTGACTTTTCTTCCAGTCCTTGAATATGCAGGGATGAAAATTTTGTCTGGAATCCCAGCAGGTGCTTTTTTAGTGTCTTGTTGATTTGCTGTAGCAGTTTCTGGAAATACTGATCTAACATAACTGGCATTCATTAACATCTGTTTATAATGACATATGTGGTTGAACCTTACCTTTAACTGCACAAAGTTCATTTTTGTGACTCTTACAAGAGCCTTAAAACAGAGTAGCAATCCCTGGGTACCAAACTCTGGATGAATAATATCTTTCTCATGCATATCTCATGAGAGATGTCCAGAGACTGAGATTTCCGCAGGAGGGTCTGAGTCCATGGCCATGTGGGGTCCCTTTATTACCTTAGTGCATAGAATGCACAATTATGTAGGTGTCCAAAGATCAGAGATTCAGTAAGACACATTGAAGAATCAGAAAATGTATTATGGAAATGATAGCTTGACAGATGCTGCTTTCATGTGAATCTCTTGTATGTAGGCCTGAAACGTAGGGAGCAAAAAGGTAGTCTAGAGTTATCCTCTCCAATTTTCCCTCCATCCTTGTGTAGAGTGAGAGAATAAATAAAAATCATGCTCACTCTGTTCACACCCTCAAAACCTATCAGGATTTGTCTCCTTATCAGCATTACTTTTTCTGAGCATACATCATTCATATAATTTTTTTGTCAAATCCTGAGTCCCTGAAGGATTAGTGCTCACTTTTAAAAAAATAATACGAACTCAAATTTACATTTCCCATTTCACTCTTCCTTTCTAAGTACAGTGTAATTCAGACCTATTTGACTGATATAAATTGCATTTTAGAACTAGCTAGTTAATTATGCTAGAGACAGACATTTCAAAAAAGAAAATAAGATGGAGGAAAAGTAGCAGATTTGATTCACTAGAATGTAGCCCCTATGTTACAAAGAAGCTGTAACTTTTAAGCAATCTTTAAGAATAAAGTCAGTCCTTCAGGTTTAACTTAGTTTAATGTCAAATAAAGCAAAGTGAAATAACATTTCTTCAGGTTTGGTAAAATGAAAAATTGAGGCAAGGAAATATTATGTACAGCTGAGTCAAAAAATGTTTTTCAGAATCTTCAGCTACAATACTAAACAAAAATAAATGAAAATTTATTAATTTTGCTATTAGGTGAACCTGAAATGCTTTGCTTTCAGTGGAATTTTTAAACTCTTTGTCTAGCCTCCTTTTTTTTTTTTTTTATTTCACTTGCTCTTTGTAGAAGTATTTTTCTGGATTAAGGTCTAGACAACTCACATGGCCATGAAGCAGTGCTTCCCCTTTATCTTCTTCTGGGGTGAGAAGCAGATCACAGCATCCAAGCAAGGTTCATCTTGGCCTTGGCAAATAGCTTTTACCGTATCTTCTGATGGACATGAGATAATATGTTCAAGCAGCACATGTAACCTAGCTCTCATGCTTGCAGCTAAAGAGAAGACTTTCAAGCTAACAGTGCCCCTTACTGAATCTGTGATCTTAGGGCATTTACGTAACTGCGTATTTCAAGCGGTTTGTATCTAAAAGGATGAGTGCTAGTTACCATCACTGAGGCCGTGTTATGATTACAAATGAGATTTCTACATTCCCAAAAGGAGTTTAACTGCTTACTCTGGTTGATTTCAAGGGAAGCCCAGGATTTAATTTCTGTAGACAGTTCTTAAAATTCTGTCCTGCTTAATTAATGTCTGTTCAGGGCTTTGAACATGTTAAAAGTGTGTATAAATGTGAAGTATTCTTGCTGTTCATGAAATATCCATGCGGCAGGTTGAAACGCACTTATGTGAACCATTAACAAAGTCTTATGAAGAAGTTATTAGATGCTTGGAGGTGAAGCATTTTTCACAAACAATTTACACACTGAAACAGAAATAGAAATCACAAAATATGCAGACTGCGACAAATAGTTCAAGCAGCAACAGTTGTTTAGGTAGTGTTTAGGTGATATGGATTAGAAAAGTGGTCTTTTGGACTTAATGAAATTCAGTATATGTAAAAAAAAATCAGAGAAGAAAAATTTGAATTCCTAATTTCCTCTATAGAGATTAAACAATGGTTTAGCATATATGAATTTTCCTCATAAGTGCTGAATCACCCTAATTTCCCAAGTGTATCAGTAGAAGGTGGTGGGTGTTCAGCACTGTTGAAAAATCAGGTCACCTTTGTAAAAGATTGTGGGATGGAATTTCAAAAGATCTCAACATGAAGTTGTGAAAGCACAAAGAGGGTGGAAGTGTACTGAGATTGGAAGCAAGGACAGGTAGCCTGGATGGATACAAAAACCTTATCCAGTCATGCAATGAATAACTTAGGAAAGCTAAAGCCCATCCAGAACTATGTCTAGCTTGGAATGTCAAAGACAAGAAGAGCTTCTATACGTACATAGCTGACAAAAAGAAGACTAGGGAAAATGTGGGCCCATTGCTTAACTAGAGAGGGGACCTGGTTAGACAGGATATGATTGAATACCTTTCTTGTCTTGGTTTTTACCAGCAAGACCACGCTTCAGGAATCCCAGGTTCTAAAGACCAGTTCCAGGCTGGAGCAAGGAAATTCCTTAGTGGAAAAGAACCAGGTGACAGAATACTTAGCAACTTGAACATGCATGAATTCATGGGCACTGATAAGATGTAGCCAAGAGCACTGAGGGAGCTGGCAGTTGTCGTTGCAAAGCCACTCTTGGTAACCTTTGATAAATTGCGATGATGGGGAAAAGTGCCTGAAGTCTAGAGGAAAATAAGTATCACTGTTACCTTCAAAAAGGAAGACCCAGGGAACTATAGGACGGTCAACATCACCTCAGTCACTGGGAAGGTGAAGGCTGGAAAACCATTTCCATGCACAAGAAGGACAAGAAAATCATCAGGAATGGTCAGCATTCCTTCACCAAGGGGAATTGACCAGCTTGATAAACCTGTATGATAAAATGACTGGCCTGGCAGATGAGGGTAGGGTAGTGGGCATTATCTACCTGGACTTCAGTAAGGGCTTGATACTATGTCTCGTAAGATCCTGATAGACAAGATGTTCATGTAGGGGCAGTCTATCCTCAGCAAGTTTGCTGATGACAAAAACCTAGGAGGAGTGACCAGATAGACCACAGGAGACTGGAGAAATGGACTGACAGGAACCTCAGGAAGTCCAACAAGGAGACATGCAAAATCTTACACTTGCGGAGGACCAAGCCCACTCATCAACCTATACTAGAGGTCACCTATCTGAAAAGCAACTTCGAAAAATATCCGAAAAATATCCTGGTGGACACCAAGTTGAACACGAGCCAGCACTGGGTCCTTGCTACAAAGAAGGCAAATAGAATCCTGGGCTACACTAGGAAAAGTATTACCACTAGATCAGTGGAGGTGATCCCTCCTCTCCACTAAGCACTGTTGAGACCAGCGCATCTGTGGTGTTTCCCAGTCAAAAGAGACTCGGACATACTGGAAAGAGTCCAGTGTAGGGGCATCAAGATGATTGAGGGACTGGAGCAACTCTCTTTCCTTCTATGAGGAAAGGCAGAGAGAGCTGGGATTGTTCAGCCTGGAGAAGAGAAGGTAATTCCAATATTTATTATTTTATCATAATTTTGTTTTTTTATTTATTTAAGTTCAAAAGAGCTGCATGGTCTTCTTGAGGGGTTTTGTGTGGGGTGGGTTTCTTTGTTTTGGTTGGTTGATTTTTTGTTTGTTTTTTAATAAAAGCATAATGGCATAATGGATTTAATCACTGGGTTGGGTTGGGTTTTTTTGGGTTTTTGGGGTTTTTTACCTCTTTGCTTATAAGGGTCTTTTTAGCCACATTTTTAAAATCTGAATCTAGATAAGATGTCTACAGTTCCTCTTAATTTTGGAATACATAGCTTCTTCTGAGAACCTTAAGAAAGGGAAATATCAGCTAATTGACCATTTTTGAAATGATAGAATAATATTCAATTAGGATTATTTCAGCAGCTGTTAGATGTCAGTATTGTTCCGTGGAAGTACAATTGGAAGGAGATTTCTACAGCTGTAAGCAAGATAGCACTTCAACTGCGAAGTTTGGAAGAGCTAGCTGTTGGTGTTCAGCACCTCATCTATTAACGAGAGACTTTAAATTACATACTCAGTGGAGCAGTAATCATTAGAGTAGACTCAAGATGCACAATAGAGATTTAATTTCACTGGAACTGTTCCTAATGAAATTCTGTATGGTGCAGACTATTTGAATTACAATTTTGGATGGACCTAAAAAAGGTATATGGAAAAAAGTGGTGCTGTCTAAAAATAATCATTAAGATCGATTTCAAAAATTAAAACCAGATACGATACGTGGATTGGGTAGACTGATTTTTTTTTCAATACGTAATATATTTAACCTTTCTGTTTCTTTCATGTATTTGGTTTTCTACTGTATGTATAATGAAATATCTTTTTTTTTCCCTAAGCTTTGAATGGTGCTGTATAATACCTTGGGGAGTTCTCCAAGGTTATTAAATCCATTGCTTTGCTGAAAGTTACTAAAGGCCACACTAACTCTTACCTCTGTTTGGAAAGCACTATAATATTTTTGGTCTTCAGCAATGAATAATATGATTAGTACCTTAGGGAATACAAACAAAAACATTAGCAAAGTACATTTTCCAATATTTAAAAGTGTAAGCCAATTCTCAAAACAAAAGTTGAATGTTCTTGAACACTGTCTAATAACATTAACCTAAAATCACTTGGTTTAATTGCCCTGTTAAGCAGTTTATTGCATTACTTATGGGATAATAGAATGAGTTCAAAGTGGGTTCATTGCATTATCTTATAAACAATGTAACACATCATTAAGCAAGATGATAGAAATCAATGTATTTTATAAGAAACAATTATGAAGGCTCCTGTAAAATCTCTAATGTAAGTAGGAGAAAGACCTCACTGTGACAAGGGAAAAAAGGCCTCTGTGAGGATAAATAGACAAAGCAAAGTCAAACTATAATTCCCCATAATCAAATTAGAAGCACAGTTCTCCAAAACTGTAAGATTTCCTCTAGTCTGATATGCTGCCCTAAGTCTTCACCCAGAAGTACACGAAAATTTCTTTCTTGGCTTACAGATAATATTTCTAACAGGTTTCTTGTCAGTTTTCTTCTTACTGAATTTAGCACAGATGTGTGACAATCTTCCAAACCTCTACCTTTCAAACTTATGATGATCTACTTTGACTTGTGTGTCCAGAGGGAATGCAAATAGAAATGTTCAGGACAGCCCAAAGAGAGGGGACAGCTGATTCAATCTACTCTGGAAAAAATAATTTCATGTTGTCTGAGGGAGCTGACAGTGCAGAGAGAAATACTGGTTCAGTATCACCTTAGTGACCCTCTGCCTGGTCTATCTGCCCTTTCTTGTAATGACATCTTCACACTTGTTTCACTACAACCTTGGGAATTTATACGCCTGTTGTATGAATGAGGGGATTAATTTTGTTCTCCACCCCTTCAGAAATGAGAACAAACAAAAATACTGGAAAATTCCTCCAGAGATCAGAGCCAAAGTGAGTGTGGTTCAGTGATCCTAAACGATCTGCAAAGCATTTTGTTACTGAGGTCCAGAGTCTGAAGGTGATGCAGGGAGAGAGTCTAGGAGATGTCAGACCCCCTGACCAAATGCCTGTCCTACATCAGAAACATTTCATGCTCTGCCTTTACTATTGCTGCTACAATGCTGACCATCTCACTCACAGCATGTGCACTGACATTTCCATGTGCACATGAGGGGGTTTCAATTAATCAAAGCAATTTTCAGAGTAGGGAACTAGTGGAGAAGTGATTAGCTTCATACGTCTGCCTCTTTCCTGGTTTGCAACTCAACTGAGCTGTGAAGAGAGCTCAGGGTCTAACTTTGGTAAAGAGCATTTTACTCTGGTAAAGGTGAGGTCCTCAGTTGAAGAAACGCTGACGTAACTTGACTTGCAGTGAAAATATAGTTTAGTTTCCTCCTAGTAAACTAAACATTTATTCTCTTTGAAATTTTGGACATATTTCAATAAGTGAAAATAAAACTACCCTGTAATACAAGAGTTGTTTGTTTTGGGTTTTTTTTGGTGGAAAATTCTTAGGTGCGAGGAACAAGCTCCAATCAAAAAGATTTGGCCAGAAATAATGGCAGTGGTATTTATCTGAATGAGAAACAAAATCTCTCTATATCATCGATGTTTTCCAGAAAAAATCTTCTCATGTGATGAGCGCTGCAGTCTTGTTCACCAAAGCCATGGTTTATTAGCTATAAATGTTTGTGAGAGTGTGAGGAAACTGATTGGTTTCACATATACTACTTGTAAGACCATCAGATAACAGTCTTTATTTAGTACTTCAATAAAGCAACTTTAAACAAAATGTCCTGATCTCCTGTGACTAATCTACCCTGCTTTGTATCTCCCTCTGAGGTTTATCTTTTGACCAGATTTATAGTTTTAGTTAACCTTAGCTTCAAACATCATCTATCCTGATCCTTCAGTAG